GAATTGTGAAACAATACACCAATTATATATTAAAAGCAAAACAAGAATTAAATAAATGAATTTTTTTATTTAAATTTACAAAATTTATAAAAAATAAAATAAAAGAAATTCACAAGGAAGGACATTTTATTAGCATTATTTCCATAATAACCAACCGAGCATAATAGCATAAAACGAGAATAAAAGACATGAGTGGAGAGGAAAGGAGGAATTACTTGTCGTATTCGCTGTCCAGAGTCATGCGAACCTTATACCAGAACGGCCCTCGTCCTCTTCGAATTACGGTAATGGTTTCATCTCTCTATCGGCCTTCGATTCGCTTTTTATCTTAGCTTTGGTGGTCATCAATCGTTTCTCCTAAGTCGTCTATGAAATTGAGCAGAATGTGCATTTAATTTTTTAAGTTTGATGCTTTGCTATCAAAATAGTTGTGAGTCTCTCGTTTCTTCTGGAATTTTGTTCATGGGTATTGATTTGATGGCATGAAATTATGTAAATTCATCTACTGGGTGGATTTTAGATGATTGATTGATGGTTATTTTGTTTGAGAATTGGGATTTAGGCTTTTTTTTTTTTTAATGGCTTGCCTTATATCTTAATTTCCAGCTTGGTACCTGAGTGGAAATAATTTAAAAGTTAAAATTTGAATGCCTTCTTTATTTTTTGTTGTGTTTTGTCGAAATTGATAATTGAATGGAAGCAAACAAGGTCTTCTGGTTGGGTTGGCTATATCATGACACATTCCTAAGAGGAAACAATATTTGAGGTCCTTTTCTCTCTCTGGATTCTGATAAAATTTAAGTTCGAATAGTTATCAGATAGCTACTATTTCAATTTAAACTTGGCCCGTTTCTAAAAAGATCTCTGTTGCAAAAGCTGAAGCTCAGCCTAAAAATTTCTGAAAAATGCTTCCAGCTTTTTTGAAACTTGTTTTTAACTTTTAGAGGGCTAGAAGATGAAGCTACAAGCCTATAGATGCTGAAGTAGAACTTTTATCGTTAAGCTTTTGAATTTGATAGTTTTTATTACTAATTTCCAAAATTTTTTATGACTACATGAACTCATGAGTAGCACTTTTGCTTATACAAAAACTGCAGCTAGCCTACACAGGCTAGTCAATTGTCATGTTCTCTTGCTCCTATTTGTTGAACTTTAGTCAGAATTTTTCAAAAAACAATATGTGCCTTTGATCTTTCCCTTCTCATCAAGTTCTACTTCTGCCATAGGGTTGGTTATTGCATGGGGCTATTTTGAAAGACAAGGAAGGAGGGAATAGGTTAGGCAGGATAGATTTGTGAGAGAGGAAAGTGCAAAAGGTTTATTTAGGTATTATAGAACAGTCATGTGGTGGAATGATTTTTTTTTGGTGAACCATTGATTGAGGGCTACTGCAATTTATGAATGCCTTATATTTAAATAAATTTATTCATCTGACCATGAAGAACCTTTGGTTTATAATGTTTACAGTTATAGGTAAGGTAGTTCAGTTTCTGCTTGTTACCCTCTGTAATAGTTAGCATCCAAGGGTAGCTCCAGACAGTTCTGATACAAGGAGGTGATTAGGCTGGATGGTTTCACAAAAAAGAAAGAAAGAGAAGAGGTCTAGTTAGGTAATAGAAAGGCCATTTAGAGCCCTTATTTTATTATAAACCATTAAGTGAGGTCTACTGCAATTTGCCATACATTTTAATAAATTAATTTGTCAAAGGCAGTCCAAGTCTGTGTATTTTATTTATTTATTTTTTTTTTTGTAACCCCTTCATAATAGACAGCATCAGTATTTCAGTTTCTACTTTTCCCCCACACCTCAGTCCCTTCTCTTTGAAATGTTTTAAATTTATCTGCTTCTTTTCTAATATATTGTGGTTAAATGACTAAATACAACTTTTTATAATCATGGTGTATATGTTGTAGTTAGTCCTTTTGAATCAACTCTCATCCCTTCCTTTTTCTATTTTTTTGGGCCTCAGATTTGAGGCAAAACTTGGTTTTGAGCTCGTTATTCAAGATAGTTCGATCTTTTTGGTTGACTTAAATCTATAGCCATTGAGAATTGAATAGTTGAAGTCTTTTTGGCATTGTTTTAAGTCTTTGGAGATTAAAGAAAATATTGATGGGGGCAATATTGAGCCTAAATGGTTCGAGGACTGGAGCAAGTGAGCCCTTTGAGCATTTGAAACATGAAACTTGCAAGAGACAGAAATTATCATTGTGTTTATGTGAAGAGAATCCAAGATTGATTCCTAGCCTTCCAGATGAGATATCCTATCAAATTCTTGCCAGACTTCCCAGGATTTACTACTTCAACATGAGGTTAGTGTCACGGACCTGGAAAGCTGCTATCACAAGTACAGAACTTTTCAGTGTAAGGAAAAAGCTTGGTACAACCGAGGAATGGCTCTATATATTGACAAGGGGTCAGCGAGATCAGCTTTACTGGTATGCTTTTGATCCTCTTTCAAGAAGATGGCAAAGATTGCCTCCAATGCCAAATTTTACTTTTGAGGATGAATCCAGGAGAGGTTTAGCTGGCCTTCGTATGTGGAATGTTGTGGGCTCAGGCATGAAGATTGCAGATTTCATAAGGAGCTGGCTTGGGAAGAAAGATGCATTGGATCAAATGCCATTCTGTGGGTGTGCCATTGGAGCTGTAGAAGGCCACCTGTATGTGCTAGGGGGATTTTCTAAAACTTCAGCCTTGACATGTGTTTGGAAGTATAATCCAGTTAAAAATTCATGGAGTGAAGCAACTCCAATGTCAATTGGCAGAGCCTATTGTAAGACTAGTGTCTTAAACAACAAGCTGTATGTTGTTGGAGGGGTAACTCGAGGTCGTGGTGGATTGACACCACTTCTGTCAGCTGAAGTATTTGATCCTCATACTGGTATCTGGTCCCAAATACCAAATATGCCATTTTTGAAAGCTCAGATTCTGCCTACTGCTTTTCTAGCTGATCTGCTCAAGCCTATTGCCACTGGAATGACATCATACAGGGGAAGGTTGTTTGTGCCTCAGAGTTTATATTGCTGGCCCTTTTTTGTTGATGTTGGAGGGGAAGCTTATGATCCAGAGGTGAATTCATGGGTTGAAATGCCTGTTGGCATGGGTGAGGGTTGGCCAGCTAGACAGGCAGGGACAAAATTGAGTGTAACTGTTGATGGTGAGTTGTATGCACTGGATCCATCCAGTTCTCTTGAAAGTGCTAGGATCAAAGTCTACGATTATCAGGCTGATGCTTGGAAAGTTGTGGTCAGAGATGTTCCTGTTCCTGACTTTTCTGAGTCTGACGCTCCATATTTACTTGCTGGTTTACTAGGGAAGCTTCATGTCGTCACTAAAGATGTCAATAACAATATTACAGTTCTTCAGACTGATGTGCAGAATCATTTTGCTTCTGTACCATCAGCTCCATCATCTTCGTCAGAGAAGACATCTGTCAATGCTGAGTCTATAGCAGAATCAGAAACAAATATTTGGAGGATCATTTCAACAAGAATGGCTGGGTCTGCTGAACTGGTTAGTTGTCAAACCCTTGAAATCTAGTGATTAGAGGATCTAGCAGTTTTAACACCCAAGGTGTCAAAGCAAGACAGTGCTTGTTATTTCTCAGCCTTTATTTGTTGGACCAAAAAAGATTGGATTGGAAACTAGTATATTGTAAACATTTGCAGCATAATTTTCCTTTCATCCTGTCATTATGTATATCATTAAAATTTCTACTGAGATGGAATATAAGATAAATTAATCTTTCTTGTTCTATGAGTAGCATTCGCTTTCATGTCTTGCATGCTTGATTTTCAAGAAAAAAAGCAGATGCTGTATCTTGATTCTTATGTTGCAAGTAGTGATGTTATTCGCGGCAGATAAATCCTTTGATACTCAAACGAGGAATGCAAGTATTGTTGAGCTGGAAATTTAAACAACTCAAATTAGTCATTGTTATCCCCATCTTACGATCTTTTTCTTTAATTCTAGATCACGCTCATGTTTTCTTCAAACTCTGTAATTTTCGGATGCTGTTACAAGTAGTTAAAGATCCGAAGATGGGTCTTTCCTCAATCTACTACCCTGCTTAAACCTCATTCTCTAATGCCCCTTCCCCTTCTACCCTTTCCTGTACTCATTGAAACAAAAAAGGGGTTGGAAAAGAGAAAGTGGCCAGAAAGGTCTTGAACCCTGGCCACGAGGGATGACCAACTGGATTACTTCCATACAAAAGGTCTGGGTTCAGAAGGAATATCTACTTTGGTAAAATAACTTATGATAAAGAAAAAAATAAAATAAAATAAAAGAAGCACCCAGAAAATCTGACTGGAAATATTAACCATGGTGATGCATATACATCCGACAGACACGAAATGGTTTCAAACTTAAATTTACCATTAATATTTTTCACTAAGAAACACGAGAATGTCTTAGTTTATTCTTTACCATGATAAAGGATACTGGAAAGAAAGAGCTTCCAAGGTTGTTTATAGGTTACAGCACTTGGCTTTATTATAATTCTTGATAGAAAACTATAAAAAGAACTTTCCTTCCCACTATGAGAAAAGTTTTTCCAGCCTCCACGATGCTTCTAGAATGCTTTCTCTATGTCCGAAAGCACTCATTCTTATATACCCTTCACCTCCCGGACCAAAACCACAGCCTGGGACAGTTATTATATGAGCCTTCTCAAGAATCTCTATGAAGACGTCCCACGATTTTGATCCAGGAAAATGCACCCAAGCATATGGAGCATTTACACCACCATAGACCTCTAGACCTACAGAAGCAAGAGAGTTTACCAATATCTTTGCATTTTCCCTGTAGTAGTCGATCAGAGAACAGATGGCCTGAGAATTTAAGCGAAAATTTCAGTTGTCCTCTTAATACAATTTTAAGCAAAAATAACATTATATGTGTGAGAATGATAGATAGTATAGTTATCAAAATTAAAAATGAAACAACAATTTACAGAAGCAAGATGAAGTGAACATGCCTAAGCAAGCAAGTTAAGCATGTGGCCACATCTGTGCCCTAATGATACTATTTGAAATCAAAGCATGTAATTACTTTAGATGAATCTTGCATTTAAACTTACCCCAAAACCTTCTGAAGAAAGGCATGCTAACCCACCAGCCTGGGATATGTTTGAAGCTCCATTAAAGCAGGTGCTGACAATGCGATTGAAGTCATTTATGACAGGAAACCCACTTGAAAATAAGAGTTCTTCAGGGACCACTGTCCAACCAAGACGAACTCCTGTGAATCCAGCAAATTTGGAGAATGATGATATTTCTATTGCCACCTGAAAACACCAAAAAAAAAAGAGGCTCAAGAAACAGAGGATTGATATGTTATGTCCTGTGAAGCAGAATGAACAAACAGAACTACTCCCTATTTAGAAAGTGACACAGAAGCTATTTTACCTCCTTGGCACCAGGGATTTCATAGATTGATCGAGGGCTGTCATCCATGATATAAGATGCATAGGCAGAGTCAAAAATAATAATCGACCCATTATCCCTTGCAAACTTTACAAGTTGCTGTAATTGCTCCCTTGTTGCTGCATGGGCAGTGGGATTATTTGGAGAACAAAAGAAAATTATATCTGTTCTTGTTGTTGCCATTAAATCAGGGAAAAAATTATTTTGAGGTCCACAATGCATATATTCAATGTTCTGATACTTTCGTGTTTCATCTTTGAAATCACCAGCCTGGCCAATGATAACACTTGAATCTACATAAGCCTGTTACAAAGAACATTTTCCATATTGAATGGTATAGTTCTAAAGCTCTAATACAAACATGTATACTAAAAGAATTGATGGAAAGGGCCAAAAACAATTAGTTGTGTTGTCTTCTTAAGATAATCAATCAATAATAAGATATGTAATGATTTCTCTCTAAAGTTAAGAAATGTAACATGCAACCAAATTAGAACAATTAATTAGAAATGTCTATGGAAAACAAAGGAAACTTGTAAAGAAGAATATGAGAGATATTTAACTAATAAGATACAACATTTTTTAGAAGCATCTTGCATGCACCCCAGTATGCGGAGAGTTTCATTTAGATTCAGAAAGAGCTTTTGAAGAAATCTTCTTGTGGGAGTCATCCAAAAGTACAAAGTATTCTACAGAATTTCCATTGAAGTATTAAAAGTTTGTGCTCTTTAAATTTTCATTTGGTCCTATCAAAAATTTACTTCAGCTTGAGAAAATTTAAATGGGAAAATGACTACTGACATCCAACAAAGTATCATTACAATAGCAGGAAGCGAGTTAATAGTAAATGAATGATATTTGATTTATAGTTCTTGCACTTCCACTTTTGATCTCTTTTGGTAAAATTATTTCACAAAGCAAGATGAGTTAGTTTCTTTCCAACAGACTCTGTCACACATGCTTTTGCTCAAACCCAAACATATATAATGGCAGCATCAAAAGTCTGATATTTTGAGAAAACAAATAGAAGACAGAATAACCGGCTTAAGTATTTAATAAAATGTCCCATTATTCTAGACTACTGATGTGGGATAGAAAACTAGAAAAAAAGAAAAAAAGAAAAACACCAAAAAATGAAAGTAGGGAGAAGCATTATAATATTACCGGAAAGGATGGGTCCTGCACAGCTATTGTAACTTTGGATCCCAGAAGTAGCTGAAAATATATAGGAAATCAACACTTAGTATTTCCAATAAATTTGCAGATTTTATCCTAGTCCCTGTTAAAGTATTGATTTCTAAGATCATACAAGACTAATGGAAGAAAAGGTAGAGGAACTAAAAGAAATTAGATTGCTAGAAAGATACACTGGACTGAACTTGAATGCACGGGCTACCTGAAGGCGGGAAATATCACACTGAGCGCCATCTGATACAAACACTTCTGTGTCTTTTATGAGTACATCTTTATAGAATGTTTCTACAATTGCTTTCCTCAACACCTGCCATTTACATCCATTAGTCCACTTTCCAGAAGTAATGTGATAAAAATTGCTTGCACTGTTGCACATTTATTTCTTATAAAAGCATGAATTTGTAAAGAACACATATCCAGAAAAGCGGAAAATAAATAAATAAATAACACCGCCATTCTAAAGCCCATCAGGCAAATCACATAGCAGTGTGATTTTCTTTTCTAATTTAAATTCTTCAAATTTAAGTTTTATAAAAGATAAATATCAATTTCAATGGAAGCCTTAGCCACATAACATAATTAAGTTGATTTATTCACTAGTTGCAGTAATGCTAATAAATATACTTTAATACAGAAACTAAGCATAACAAACACCAATGGAGAAAAATAGGTCCTTGGTGGCTGATGACTAATACTGCATATATTGAAGAATGAAAATCAATCTATAATCTGATAACAAACAAGTTTTCTTTACCGTAAAAGTGAGAAGAAAAAAAAGGGGGGGGGGGGGGGGGGGGGGGGCTTTCACAAGCACCATTTTACCTGATTCCCCTGCTCGGCTCCATACCCACTATAACCTCCAGTTGTTGAAAGAGCATGTGCATACTGCAAGCCAAAATACAAGTGGAAAATTTATTTTCAACAAATCAATTAGCAATTTGCTTACCCTGTTTCTCTAAAGCACAATGACTTTTTTGTGACAACTAATCTGCTTTCTTATGTCTAACCTCTCCTTGTAAAGAATAGTAAATTAATTGGTTTAAACTTTAAAGAAAGGAGAGAAAGAAGTAAAACACCAGCAGGGATCATGCACTCCAAGATAACATACAAGTCCTCTTAAAGGAACTTAACAAAACATATAATCTACTTCTTACATTCTCTATATAAACTCCATAACAATCTGACTTTCCAAGTTTAACTATTTGCAACTGCTATTCTGTTAACGAACTTCATTAAATGAACTTTTCAATGTCATTGGAAATTACATCAAAGTTATATAACATACAAAGAGCAGCTTTTCCTTATTTCCGTTAGTCTGCTTCAGGCAGTGGATTTATCAATTTTCTTTAAGTTGGCAGCATAAGGTGATTGGTGAAGCCAAAAACTGTGATTCTCTTCACCAGATAAGAATACAAATCAGTTATCTAATTCTCTGCTAGATCTATTTTTTTTCTACTAGAGCAGGACACCAAATAACAAGGATACAAGATTAATGACATTGTTCAAACATACGACATCAGACATCCTACAAAAAAATCATCTAGAACCTATTTATAAATGCAACTGTCATAAGGAATGAGGCTGCAACCTAGCTAGTCACTTCAATCAACCACGTGCTGAACAAGAACATTGCAAGAAACATTTTACTTTCTGAATTTGCATAGATTGACAAAACAAAGCAATTCCTGCACTGTAAATTACAAAAATTGCATTTCCTTCTTCCTGCTTGAGCATTTAAACTGCATATTGTTGACAACTGGGAAAATGTTTCCATAAATTCTTGCAAATGCATGTTTGACATGCATGCCTGACTCAACAAAACATGTGATGCATGCAGATTAATCCTACGCTCTCCCTCCTCTCATATTTATGAAGAAAAGAAGAAGAACAAAGAAGAAGAAGAAGAAGAAGAAGAATATGAAAGAAACAAGAATTTAGCATGCAAGACTTACATTGGCCATGCTCAATGCAATGTTCTCTGGAATGGGCTCCGTGGTGTCACCAATTCCCAGGCTAATCAATTTGGCATTTGGGTACTTCTGCAGGTGTTGAAGCTCACGCTTTGAAATCTGGTTGAGATGCAATCAGAATCGTTAGCATGAAGATTAGCAAAGAAATGGATACTGTGTCTGATGGAACATGAAACAATCTAAGTGGTTGGAGAATGAAATTAGCAAAGAAATAAATACTGAGTTTGATGGAACCACATAAACAAAGAGCCAGAAGAGAAGGCAAGAAACCTTATGCATCGAAAGCAGTTTGATCATAAAAGAAACATAACATATATAAATAACTATGCTTACCAGGAAGAGAAAAGAAAAAGAAAATTTCTTTAAACAAGTTAAACTAGAAATCCAGCAAAAAAAAAAAAAGGAACAAATGTAAGCATGGTGAATTTGAAGAGAACCTCAGGAAATAAATAGTCCTTCTGCAGCCTTTCCAAGTTTACATTGCGGGATACCTTTGTACAACGACCTGTTATCACACAAGGTAAGATGTTCATCTGATCTTACCAAAAAAAAAAGATGTTCATCTGAAAGTTAAAGCTAAAAAGCCTCAAGAAGAAAACAATAAGAAAGATAACTAATATGAAGTAAGCTCATACCATATCCCTCATTCTGGAGTTTCATGCTGTATAACAAAATACAATAACACAATCTTGTTAGTGCAATCCATAGAAGAGCAGCAGGAAACCTGGAAACTTTATGTGTGTTGTTAGAATCATATACCTGGCCTGAAACATCCTAGGCCACAAGGAAACTCCAGAAGGCATAGAACAAAAGGTTGGTAACTTATACATTTTGGTATTGATACTCTGCACAAGAACAAACTTCTCTAAGGCTCTTGCTATATGTGAGATGAGAAGTAGCAAGAATGCTAGCTCCACATCGATATATATATTAGACTCCAAGCACAGACAATCAATACCTAAAAGTGTACATTATATGCCAGTTGTCACCCCATCCTGAATTTATTTTATATGTCAAAGAGTAAGCCATGAAGAAGTTAGTTTGCTGAGGTAGACAAGTGTGACTTGATCATTTCACACCAGATGTCAATGTTCAGAACTTCATTACTTGATAGTAGTTGTTGGACAAGTGCATCCACTGGTAAACAGAAGATTGCCAGGTCTTTTTTCCACACCTAATTTATCTGTTTAATTCATCTGCCTTTTTCTTTTTGTGACGTTCTTGACTTCTGTTCGGCAAGGAAAATAGGCCAACTTTCTTTGTAGATGCTGCATTTAAAATCTGAACAGTTTTAGTATGTCTTTACATATTCAGCGTTCAAATGCTAACATTTATTGAAAGAAAATGCAAGTTACGAGAAGCAATATGCTAAGAAAATTGAACCTACTAATCATCAGCTGCCATAAAGGATACATATTGGCTAAAAAGATTTAACATTTAATATGATTTCAATAAATTTTATTTGGCTGATAAAAATTAAAAAAAAAAAAAGAGAAAAAAACATTTCATATGATTCAGTTGCTTGTCTTTCTGTGAAAGCACTCATTTAATCAGTTGCGTTGTTTGAGAATTTGAGAATTTGAGCCTTTTAGAAGTTGTAACAAGTCCCTGCATCATGTCTGAATGATGAATACTTAGCCTACTCGACAAAAAATTACATAAATCTTCCCATAAAAATTAAAGTATAGTATGTCAATTTTTTTTTTTCAACCAGCAAGTATGGTATGTCATTTAATGTTAATTTTGCGTAGCCTAAGACTAGCCTCCTTGCACCACCACCTCATTGAACTAAAAGTAGAAGACTCAATCACTTGAATGTCACATGTAAAGGCCAGCCTGCCATTGATAGTCCTCTAACACTCTTGTATAAATGTTTAGTGTTATAAGATTACATTTTCAATTCAGAAACTATGCAACATAAACTTGAAATATGCTTTGAGACTTGATAGTGGAGCAAGAGAGCAATTTTCTAACCGAGTTATAAGTCAAATGAGCATTTTTCCAATACCATCAACTCTTTCATCAATCAAAACAAGTGCATGTTTGAAGGTTCCTTGTCATTAAAATGGAACATGCATCCCACTATGCTTAAGACCAAATTATTCTACCAATCTCCACTAGGAACCATAAAGCTCTTATCATGTCAATAAATTTCTAATTTAAATCCATCATCCATTTAATGAAATTGAATGACAATTTCTTTAAAGAAGATTCTTAGTTATCAGAAACAAGATGCTAAGAAACTTCAAACCTACTAACCCTCGGCTGTCACAAATGATGCTTGTTGACTAAAAACATCTATAGCATTTACTATGTTTCAAGTCTTCCCAAACTACTTTTAGGAGAAAGAAAAGCTGATTATTTTGACCCCCGCACATGTGAATGGCGTGGAAAAGATTAGAATTACCAAGAAGCAATTGCATGAGAACGAAATTATGTCGAAAGTGACCTCCCACCGTATGAAAGGACTGAAGAAATAAACCATTGTCCAGTACAGAGAAAATGGGTAAACACCTAACTTTATTTTTAAAAATTAGTATAAAAAATACAAGTGAACTTACATGATTTCTTCCCCAAATGAAGACCAAAACTTGACAAACTCAATATTCATACTTAATATTCCTTCAAAGCATAGAATATTCATACTTAGTATTCCTTCAAAGCATAGAAAAGAAGCTAACAGAACCTATAATCTCAAACTTTGAAAAAAACCGAACGCAAACCCAGAATACCATGACTTTATATTATTTGAAATCAGACAATGTGTAATGAACAAGGTTGTATTAAAACTGGGTCAGTCAACGTAGAAAACAGAAAAAAGAACAAAAAAAAAAAAAAAAAAAGGAAGACAGAACTAAACACCTAACTTGTAAACTTTGGAAAGTAGCAACCAAAGACAAACACTTTAAATCAATAAGTACAAAGCAGAGATGGAGACAAACCCCTGGATTTTACACTGTCCCGGTCCTCAGTACCCATTTCCGCCTTCCAGTCCAAATGATCTTGAAAGAAGAAGTTGCCATGAAAGTCAGGTACATCCTTCCTTTCTAGGACATTCTCTAGGAGAATTGTGTTTGAAATTGAACTCATTCTATATTGTTTCATTGTGGTGGGTATGGACGATTCGGCACAGAAGTCAGCTTCACCCGTCTCTTTCTTTTGGACAGTGAAGTTGTAGAGCCAGCTGAATTGAACCGCTCAAACCACTACAAAAGTCAGTGTTTTGGCTTCAGAGCATCAAAACGACCTGTCCCAAATTCCCAATTCCACTGCTACAATTGCAGCTAAAGTTCTGGTTATAATGGAAAGAAAAATAACTACTTTGGGTACCTGGAAAATAATGCGATACAACGGGTAATTATCGTTTCTTTTCGTAATGGGGGTTTTAAGTTTTAACTTCTAAGAACGGAGCAGGCCACCAGGTCCCTGAAGTGGACCGCAACCAGGACTGGTGTTCCAGTCCGGGGCTCTATGGCAAAGGTTTTGCCCACCCTCAAAAGTGTTAAAAAACACATAATTTTTTGTATATTATTTCTAAAAATTTTGAGTCACTTTAATTAACTTGTTAGAAAATTAGTGACAAGTTAAAATAATATATAAATTATAATTATTAGTCGATAAATAAAAAATTATCAATATTAATTACTTAATATATTAAAATAAATCTATAAATTAATATTTTTAAATATTATAACTAATCATTTATAAAAAAAAAATCACAATAATTGTGTGGCTTTAACACTTTTTAGTGCAGCCTTGCTTGGGCCCCATCTTATGCTCCATATTTTTCCATATTTATTTTTTTGACAATTTTATTTGAAAAGTTTTTATTGAAAATTAAAAAAAGTACTACCTCCATTTAATTTTATTAATCTTAATTTGAGTTTTGACTTTTTAGATATGAATTTAAAATGAAAACTTAATATATTATATAAATGATAATTGAAATTTTTTTATCAAATAAAAATATTTAATAAAAACTATATATAAAAAATTAATTGTTATTTGTATAAATGATTAAATTTTCAAATAAAATTTATATATGAAAAATAAAATGGTAAAAGTAAGACCACTAAAGTTGAATAAAAAAATATATAAAAAATTCATAAGTTTTGTAATAAAATTTTGGTATAATTTTGTTAGTATTAACCTTTTATATTCGTTAAAAAATTAATGTTAGGAAATAATCAAATAGGTCCCTATTTTAGAAAAGCAAGGAAAAACTCTCTTTAAAAAAAAAAAAGTGTAAGAAGAAAAATTTAGTTGTTGTTAATTGTGTTAAAAAATATTTGCTAAAAATATTGACTTTACCTTTGTTATAGTATTTATGTGTGAAAGAAAAAGCCAAAATAGCCGTAAAGAGTACACATAGGGGCAAGTTAAGGGGGAAAGTTTCCCCTTAACCACGCACAACCTAAAAGTCACTACCTTCGCCCCATTTTACTTGTCATTGCACCTAAGTTTTTGTTTACTTTTATATAGCATGTAACTTGCAATTGAATTTTTCTTTTTTTTTTTTGAACATGGCAATTGAATTTTTCTTTTTTTTTTTTGAACATGGCAATTGAATTTTTCTTTTTCTTTACTTTACACTTAAACTTTATACGTAATTCTTAGTTGAATAGATTTATTTTTAAAAAGTATTCATTTGCGATTTATATACTATATAAAAGTACACTTAAAATTACATGCAAAAAATCAATGTGATGACTAAAATAGGATGAAGGTAATAAAAATCAAATAATTTTTATTATGAATTAATTGGTTCAAAGCTTAATTCAATGATTAATTTATTAACTATCAATTTTATTTTATTTTATCAATTTTATTTTATCAATTTTATTTTATTTTAATCTAAATTTTTTTTTAAATAGCCTATGGATTTTATGAAATATTTCCTAATAATTTATTGTACCAAACTCCAGTTAGCTTTAACGGAAATATTACGGAAAAAATTTAACTCTCAAAGCAAAGTAATCCTTTAAGTTTTGAAAAAATAATACTTTAACGCATAGAGTATGATCACTCAAGAAATCTACAAAGAGCTATTCATTAGAATTTATAATGTGATTGAACAACTAACTTAATTTGAAGAAAGAAATTTAGCAAGCTTGGAACAAAAACATTTAAGAGTAAGTCTCAAAGTAACAATAAAGATAAGAACTTTTAACTACTAAATAAAGAAAAAAAAGAAAGAGAAAAAATAAATATTTGTAAGAACAATATTAATGCACTTCTCTCAGCATGAAGAATTGTCAACATGATTGGATTAACTTGCACTTACTCAATAATTTAAGTAATAATAAGATTAGCAAAAAAGATAAAAAAATTATTGATAAAATTCTAAAAATGAAAATTACCAATGAAAACACTATAAAAGAAATAAAAGAGACAAAGAAAACCCTCTTTGCAAAATATAAGTCTACCAAACCAAAAAGTTGACAAAGTATGCCCTTGAACCAATACTGTTCTACCAAACATTCATGTACTTGTGATAAGAATAAAATAATATTTATAATATTCTTTATCAAATATTAATTATTATTTTCTTATGTATATTAAATATCGATAAATACTTTAAAATATTTACTACATCAAAAGATAATAATAATTATCATTATTAATGAGAATTATATGATGTGATAGTAATGCTTTTAAATTGTCTACAAATCATATACATCATTTAGATGAGACATTAATTAATATAAAAACTAATATATGTGCATTTTGTAGGAGATAAGACTTTTTTATTATGAAATCACATATTACATGTAAGTGGCTCAAAGGATATGAGTGCATTAGATTGACTAGTCATAAAAATAACACATGCATATGTCTTTAATAGATTCTCTGTTATGACATGAGTGTAAATAATTCTTTAACTTGAAATGTTCATTATTTAAAGGATTTTGTCACGCTTCAAACCCAAATAAAAATAGACATCATACACATGTAAGTGGACCCATAGTTCCACAGGACTCAGTTCATCTATTAGAATAAAATCAATTGAAAACATAAAAACCAGCCAAGTTATGAAATACTTCCAAAATAGCTAAGTCACAAATCATTTAGAATCCATGTCTAAGCCGAATGACATAATGTGACCATAACTTAAAAAAAAAAAAGAAAAAAGAAAAAAAAAGGGCTAAATCCATAACTTCCCTGAAATGTCACACATCAGATCCCCTCTTCCTAGTCTCGTTATCTGAAATTATGGAACAGGAAAAATGATGTGAGATAAATCTTAATAAGTAAATTAGGAATGCTTTGCATATTTAACCAGGCATGACAAGTTTAGATAATAATAAAAGAGCATTTCAAAATAATCATTGGGCATTAAAATTAGATAAAGCCTCCTCAAAAAATCATGGTTAGCATTTTTATTCTCATTGGCAGATGAACATAAATAACCAGTGTTCCTACTCTCACTAACAAGATAAACAAAAATAATCAAAATATACTAGCACAACAAATATAACATGTTATCAAGGCATAGTATTTTTACTCCCAGTGGCATGACAAATAGGAAAGATGACATAATTGGAGACAAAACAAGCATGTAATCATACGCATCATAAAACAAATTTTAGGCTCTAGTAAGTATATCATAAAAATGTACGGGTAATGACTGTTCAAAAATTAGGCAAATATCTCGAGTAAAATCAACATGGCATGCTCAATTTTATTTAACATAATAAACAGATTTAAACAAGTGCATGTCATGCGATGGTCATAAAAATGGGTTTTTGTCCCACCACCATCTCAAATCATTAAAAACATGCTTTAAAACCTTGGTTTAAAAACTAGGCAAAAGCCTAAAAATAGCTTTTTACCTTGGTAAATTGAATGATTTTAGCCTCTCACCTTATAATATAACGGTTTTAGCTCTTAATCTATAAGAATGTAAGAAAATAGCCCTTACTTGTAACTTCTGTCACACGTCTGTCATCGTCCGTCACTTTCGTCACACGTCTGTCACTTCCGTCACTTTGTCCATTATATTTCCGTTAACTTTGTCCTGCTTGTATAATAAATAAAAAAATGGGAAAGCTTCTCCAAGAAGCCGCTGCATTTTTTTAAAAAATTCTAATTTTTTTACTTTTGTTTTTAAAGATGGCTGCACATGTATTAATTGTATATAATTTTTACATATTATTAAATAAATAGATATAATTAATATTATAGGTTTCAAATAAATATAAACAATAAATAAAATATATAATATAATCAAAAAA